TCTGAATCTTCTGCCATTCTGCTCTGCATTCTGCCACAACGGTGGTCACTCTGCGGGCTTCGGGGTATCCATCTCTTCCTAAATATTTATGTCTGAACCAGCCTGGCTTGCCTTACAGATATGACTGAGACACTGCACTGACAGCCAGTGGAGGCACCCCTTGTTATCCCATGTGTTACTCACCCTAATACCCAGCCCAAACAGTACGGACTAATTTTCATTTACAAGATCACTTAAAAACCCATTTCCTGGCCTCAGCAGGCAGAATAAGCCGCATTCTTGCCTGATGGATGGCAGAGCATAAGAAGCCATGTGCTAATGCTCACACAAACCAAACCAAGGTCTGAAAAGGACTAAGGGATTCATGTAGATTCTGCTTTTCTTAGCTATATAACTCAGGAATAAATACAAACAAAATATTCAATGAGTATGGCCAGCCCCCAAGCTTGACCTTCTGGACCCCATACAACTTGCATGGGGCAGGCAGGGTTCCAGTGAGCATTCCCCACCTGCCAGGCCCATCTGCTACAAGCTCACTGGCAGCCAGGAAGTCACAAATGATAACCTATAGGGTTCCTAAAAAGTGCCAGCAGTCCTGGGGGGTAGGGGGATTCAAGGAAAGGAGACAGCCTTTACATTGGGGGATATGCGATTAGGTTCCTATTATGAAAATCAAATGACATAGACTTCTGGTTAATATCAAAGACTTTTTTGAAAAAAACCCCAGTAAATCCTGAAATATTGGAGACATGAAATTAACCAGAACCAGAAACTTGACTTAAGAGGTCCTCCAAAGGCATTTTCCAAAGACAGAAAGAACTGTAAATAATAGCTAATCAATAACTAATTTCAAACATGCTGTACTGGTCTGTAAGTAATTTCTTTGTGACCATGCATGGTGATTTTCAGGAAGAACTCTGCAGGCCCATCTCGTGGCAGCCTACCAGGTTAGGAAAAGACACACACGTCTCTTTCTGCCCATTGATACGGCTGGAAAACCAAGGCATATACTACTTGATGTGCTCTGGAAGCTGACGGCAGACTCACAGAAGGCTTCAGAGCATCCGCCACATTTTGTTCATCCTCTCTGCCATTGGAAAATTCTCTTGCTCAAAAAAGATAAACGTCTCCTTGGGAAAGTGAGAGCAGAGGCAGAATGAATGGGGAAGGGATGCCAAAAGACAGAACTTATTTCACAAAGCAACAGTGTCTAGCGTCCCTGCAGAGTACTCACACATTCAATTCAGCCCGAAGGTAATTTATACTGCACTGAAGAGTTTCTAGTTTGTCACATTGCTAGGTAAGAGCAGTCAGAACTGAAGTAACAGCCTATTTCAATGCCTGGAGAAAGAAAAAATAAAGCTTGCATCTACTTATGGAAATTTACAAAGGTGTAGGGAAATGGCTCCTCTCTCCATCCCCATTCTAACAAATGTCATTAGCAGTAAGAACTCAACACTTCAAAGAAAGATGCGCTTCCACATGCAGAGGCATATAAATACAATTATTTCCTTAAAAAAAAAAGCCAACAATCTAATGGCAGTGAGTATGCATCCTACTGGGCATGAAGTATTTTATGCTATATACAGTTAACACCTATTTGAATGGAGTACGATGGAGCTTAATTGTTTTACTCTATGCACAGCAAAGCAACCAATTGAATCTAATATTAGTCATTCATCAGATAAAACATTTTCAGAGAAAAAAACTGCTATATTTTCCCCTTAAAGAACAGCAAGCGTTTTAAACACATTTTCCAGCGATGTTACGCTGAGGAAAACAGCTTAAAAATGTTACTTTAAACAAATCCCGTTCTCTGGCTACCACCAACACGGCGAATTGGAACAAATACTTGGCTCTGTCTTTCCAAGCCTCCTTCTGTCCACCTGTCAAAGGCAGTTCTGACCGCACCAACCCACGAGGCAGTTCCAGAGACGTGAAATGTGCCACCCTGCATGGATGCCCTCTGCACGGTACACCAGCATCATTAGGGATTAGCCAACTCACTTGAAGCAGGGAGAGAGAAGATGGGCTGGCTGCCAAGTGTTCTTTCAACACAGATTCCGAAAGAAGATCCTGCAAAGTGTGGAAAGCCCAGATTTTCAACAGTTCACTTTCTAGACTCTGTTACATAGCAACCATGCCAGCTCACAGAGAGGACCAACCAAGGTAATATTTTGTTTAAATGACACACTGCATTAACTCTCTGGGGAAACCCAAGTTTTCTTCATCCCCTTACCTACTGTCCAATGTCATAGCTGGAACAAAACATCCGATGGTGGATAGATGAGCTCGTTCAATTCATCAGAAAACATTTTTAAACAAAAATATTTGAAAATGGATCTAACAGTTCCTTGGCAGGGAGAGCAAAAGGTGGGTTCTTCCCTGTAACTATGTGTGCTAATATTATTAAAAGTACATTAGCAGGCACTTAATATGTACATAATGCCCTTTCGTTAAATGATGACTTATACCATTGCATTTTGAAAGATACCCATTTCATTCAAAACCTTGATTTGAAAAGTGGTAACTCCATAGCCCTGAATGCTCATAGGGTCTGAGCCTACAGAATCACACCAACGCAGGCAAAATTAAACCAGAAGATTGATTCGAAAGAAGAGTCAGGAACCCCCAGGAGCTGAGCCTCTGCGAGCCTTCCTGGAGGCATATTATGAAGAAGCAGGAGGGAAACAATCAACCACACTTTAAGATGAACTTGAGAGACCCCAATGGTTTCCTGCCGGAATACCAAAGCCCTAGCAGAAACGACCAGACCGCCTCTGCAGAGGGTTTCTGTTTCAGCAGAATGTTGCCACAGGTCATGAGCAAAGCAAACAAAATAAAAACAAAGCCAACACCACTCACAGAGGCTGAATGACGTAAAAAAGTGCTGGATCGAAGTCCTGTTGCTCTAGACAAGGAAATGATGCCATGCTGGGTGCATACAAGGGGCTGCCTTTCTTTTCAACCACCACATCGGTTTAAATTCACATCAATCTGGAGGGATATGTGGCCAACAATGGAGTTAAAACCTTTAACAGCTCATTTTTGGTTATAAAGTCACTAAATTCGCCCCTAGTAAAAGTTTTGAAAAATACGAATAGAACACAGCAAAAACCAAGACCGCCTTTCATCCAACCACCCACAGACAGCCACTGCCAGGGGCAGGCATGCTCTTAGGAGCCGGAGGGAGCAGCAGCTTTTGTGTGTTTTTAAGGCTATCAATAGACCCAAATCCATTTCTACCTTCACAGTCTTGTGCATTTTTGAGGGAAAAAAGAAAAAGCAAACAGCCCACTGTTGTTCCATTACAACCTAAACGTCAGCTAAGTATCTCGGTTTCCAAGTTGAGTGTGGACAGCATTGCTGCATGGACCTCCTTAGCATGCTCAATCTGTGACTAGACCCAGGACTCAGATAAAAGCCACTTAACTTTTCCTCGGCTGAGGAAAAGGGCAGACGGTGGGAAATAAACCAGCATTGTTTAGTCCCTGCTCACTCTGGCTTCTGATTCTTAGCAAATACCAGTTTGTGGTGATGCCTTTAATGATGGAAGGGACCCTGCCTATGAAAAGTAACGCATTACCAGGCAAACTACCTTCTCTTTATGGCCCAGGTGCCAGCAGAGAGCATCTTCCACACACAAAGACATAGCAAGGGATAAACGTCAGAATAACCAGATACTCACCTTGGAAACTATGTAGCAAACACCAGACCCACAAAACCTTCCCACCATTACGTCATGGCTACTTGGGTACCAAATTACTGCCCCGATTCCTAAGACTTGTGATGAACTCCTAAAGTACCAAGTGAAAATGTGACTTGGCATTCAACATAAAACTGTTAAATTCAGGCTTACTTAACATCTCCCATAGAAAAGCACATCTTCCCCACGAAGGTAATAAGGAAACAGGTCTGACAGAGAGAAGGCATTCATATGAAAACAGACTCTCTCAACATTTGAGAAGCTCTTGAAATAACAACAAAACTAAAAAAAATTCTTTTGAACCACTGGGCCACTGGTACCTCATACTTCAGCAAGTGACATGTTTATACAAGTGGCCCCCCTGTACTGATATTTTTTTTTTGTCCTGTTCTGGATTTCTGCAGTTTGGTTTAATTCAAATGGTATTAATAACTGCTAATATGGTTTCTTCTGGGGCAGTTAGGCACAAAAGGAAGAAAGAAAAGAAAAAAGACAGAAAAATCCTGAAAGCCAGCCCACCCTTTTACTTTTCGATGCACAGAAACCACACGGTACATGTTTTGGATGCTTCCTCCGCCTTTAACCCTTGCACGGGGTTTCAGGGTTTCATCTCTGTCAATGTCAACACAGGCCAGCTGTCTTTTTTACCCTCCGGGAAAACTGCAAAGAGTCCCTTCAAGCAGTGGCCCCCTGCAGCCCACCACCTAAGCCTTCATTTCTCTAGGAGCCCATCACTCCGCCTTTGAGATCTAAGATCTCCCCCTGGAAACTGCTCTCAGTATGCTTATACTCGCTGGAAATTTTAACTCCCTGCTGAGCAGAGCATCGACTGTTGCATCGATGTATTCCACTGCCTGCGCGATCTCAAACGGGGAGAAAATCAAGTCCAGATGCCATCAAGACAAGGGATTTGGCATCCGTAGAGAAAAGTGCAAACCAGTCCAATCCTGTGCCCCAAACACGGCAGCAGAGCCAGGAGCCCTCTTGCTCGCCGGGAAAGAGTCATTCCAAAGGAAGGAGCCTCCGGAACTGGGGGGAGCTGGGGCATTCACCCCTGCCGGGGGTGGGGGCCAAGGCCCGAGCATGAAAAGTTTGCCCAGGGAGCTTGGGGATGTGTGCCATCTAAAGGCACTTTCTGCTGCCGGAAGGGACCGGCCGGCTGCGCCTCGCTCACGCTGGCCCGGGCCGGTGTGACCCCGTGAACCCGTGCACACAGCGCCCGAGGTTTGGTTAATGACAGCAGCCTGCAACTCCCGGCCGGGGAGCAGCGGTGGCCACCGCCGCGCGGAAAGGGTTACGAGCCACAGTGCAAGGCGATTTCGCCCCGGGCGCGGGGACACCAGTCGGCGGCCACCTCCGGGCCCGGGCCCGCTCGCCCGCCTCCGCTCCGCCCTGGAGCCGGGCGATCCCTACCTTGCGCGCCGTGCTGATGGTTCTCCATGTTCGCCGCCGCCGAGTCTGCAGGCGCCGAGGCGCTGGCCGCCGCTCCCGGGCCCGGGCCGGGGCCGCCGCCGCCGCCGCTCAGTTCCGCCAGTCTCCGGTTGGTGGCCGTGAGTTCGGCTCGCAGGTTGGTCACCTCCTGGCTGGCCGACTGGACCGCCCCATCGATGCGGAGCGCGAGCTGCTTATTGTCTTCCATCATGCTCAGGATTTTGGCCTGGGGGCGAGAGAGGTGACAAAGAGCTGCATGATGCGCGGGGGGCGCGCGGCCGGGCACCCCCGGCTCTACCTGTTGGGTCCCCCGCGACCCGGATCCCCCGCGCCCCGACCCCCAGGCACCGGCAGCGCCGGCTCCTCCGGCGCAGGAATGACAGCGGCGCCTCCAGCCGGAGCCGCGGCGGTAGCGAGGCGGCGGGGGGAGGGGGAGGAGGAGGAGCAGCGATCGCCGAGACCCCGGCGCCGAGAGCTGCTCGGAGAAGGACACCGCGCGCCGCCAGGCACTCTTTCAGTGGAGCCTACCATTCGCTGAGCGCTCGGGAGGGGGCCCGCGCCGGGGACCCGGGCGCACCCTTGGCCTCCGGCGCCCCCTACTTCGGGGACACACCCCCCGGGGGGCGTGGGCGCCGGGCTGCGGCCGTGCGTAGGCCGGAGTGGCGCCCCTGGCGAGGTGTAGAGAGCGCCTGCTCCAAGGCCGGCCCTGGGTCCCCTCCCCGGAGCTGTGGGGCAGCCCCCGCCCTGGCGAACTAGCGCCCCGCGCCGTGCCGGGGTTGGAGGAGGTGGGTGCTTGGGAGAGAGGGTGCTCGGAAAAGGGGCCCCGGAGGGGAGCGGGGATGGAGCTCCACCGGAGGGGGCAGCTTGGCCGAGATCGAGAGTGGAGTTTTTGTTTGGCCATTTCCTTAAAATGTGGGGAGGAAATGTGCAGCGAGGAGCTGAGCTGGTGCCCCGCGTACCCCTCACTCTCCACCCCACTCCTACCGACCCTCACCTCCGCCCCAACCTGCACTCTGTCCTACCTGCAGAGGAGCGCCCTGTCCTGCTCCAGGGTGGGCCGCTGTAGCTCAGGCCTCCCCACAGACCCCCACCCCAGTGTGTGCACCAGATGTGGAGGGGTGAGGTCCTTAGCTTCCTAGCTGGGCTAAATAATGGGGAGTGAGAGAGGGATGAGGCCCGGAGGGAAGACCGAAAGGAGTCAGTGGGCCTTCCCCTCTCTCCTCCTACCGGGAGTAGGAGTGTGGAGGCCCTGCTGCCTAGTTCACCCACTCCCTCTTCACAGGAGGACTGGGGTAACCACAAAGTTGATAAACCCATCTAGCTCCTCTTACTCCCAGAGCACACAGGCTTTGCATTTTTCACTGGGGCCCTGGATTCCAGCCACCAGACCTTGTTACCATAGCAAGCTTCATTCCATGCAAATAGGACAATTTAAAACAGCCCGTGTAACCCTGAGGACTACAGAGCACCACCCTGCCAGCTGGGTCAGGCTCAGGAGAGCAGCTCAGAGCCTCCGTAGCTGATGGTGCTCCCGCACAGACTGAGGCTGCCCACCCTTGAGATGCAGCAGCATTTGTTAGACACCTACTGTGTGCAAAGTGCTTAGGATGCATTATCATCTCTTTGGAGAAAGGATTATTATTCCTATTGTAGAGATGAGGAAACTGAGGTTGGGTAGGGCTTAGGCAGTTTATACAAGGGGCCCACAGAAATCAGGTGAAACCAGGACTGGAAGTAAGCAGTCACCTGATTTCAATTTAGTTCCACTGGGGCCTTGGATGCTAATTTTTTTTTCTTTTTATATGGAACCATAAAAATACAATCTTTTTCCAACCCCCTGTGACCACTAACAAGCTTTTGTAAGCAGGGTAGTATTAGATGGTAGAGCATATGGCAGGAGACCATTTTTCACTCTGTCCACTCTACTAACTGACCAGCCGAGGGTTGAACCCCTGACCTTAATCTCATTAGCATGAATTCTGACCCTCTGGGCTAACCAAGGCACTTAGATTGCTTGGTGTATTTATAAACCAGGATTCAGTTCTTCAAAGTCCTTCAGTTAAGTTATGGGGGAGCATTGAAACTACAGAACTCTGTGGGTCTTCAAAAGGGCTGCCAGGCTACAGCCACTGTGGAAAACAGACTGGGGGCTCCTCAAAAAGTTAAACATAGAAATTACCATATGACCCAGCAATTCCACTCCTAGGTATATATAGCTCAAAGATTATTTGAATATCTGAGAACAGATATTCAAATAAAAAGTTGTTCACAAATGTTCACAGAAACACTATTCACAATGGTCAGAAGGTGGAAACAACCGAAATGTCCAACAACAGGTGAACTGATAAACAAATTATGTACTAGCCATACAGTGGAATATTACTCAGCCATGAAAAGGCATGGAGTCCTGACAAATGCTAAACCTTGAAAACATTCTGCTGAGTGAAAAAAGCCAGACAGAGAAGATCACATATTGCACAACTCCAGAATATATAAACCCACAGAGACAGAGAATATCTCCATGTTTGCCAGCAGCTGAGAGGGGAGACTGGAGAGTAACTGCTTAATGGGTCCTGAGTTTCACTGTGGGGTGATGAAATGGTTTGGAACTAGACAGGGTGGTGGTCATACAACACTGCACGTACTAAAGCCATTGAACTATTCACTTTAAAATGGTTAATTTTATGTTACATGAAATGTACTTCCATTAAAAAAAAAATCAGTGTATATGCAAGTACCTCAAAAAGTGGGACAGTGTGTTCTGGGAACAAACCTTCTGAGAAAACAGTTAAAAGTAACTCTTTTTTTTAGAGCCGTGTGTGCATGCTCACACCTGTTACAGCACTCTTCAGAAAGCACAGGATTTTGTTTACCTGTGTCTCTCTCACATCACTGAGAGCTGTTTATGGAAGAAGGAGGGTGGTCAATTTTTGTTTATTCATTTTGCATCCTTGCCACCTAACCCACAGTAAGCGCTCTGCAAATGAACGTGTGTGAGGCGTGTTTGTACTGTAAACAGACTGACCAAGTGTTACTCATTTTCCTCATCACTGAGATTATTCCCACACACCAGAATCTTAAAATCAAGTCAAAACAAAATGAAACAGAAACCTAACAAGGAGAAAAGAAAGCGAACACCCAATTCCTTGGGTTCCTCCTCATTTCTCTCTGCCTCCTCTCTTCCCCAGTTGTGGCACAACCATTGAGATTTCAAGAAGCTTGCTTTAGGAACTCCTGGGGGGCTTCCTGGAGTTTCAAATCATTTAATTTTTGAGATTATTTTTTCTCAACATGAACAAAGGGTTTTTCTCAGCTGTGTATCCTTATGTTCACCCACACACAAAATCATCAGATCTCAGAAAGTCTGAGATCAATTACCATCTAGAATCTACTCCACTGAAAGGCCTACCTTGTTAGCCCCCGACTTCCGCCACTGCTTCTCCTTAGGTGATAGCAGATAACATAAGTCACAGATTTAGTGTCTTCCCTCTTGCCTAATACCCTCTGGCAAACCCAGTGGCCTATCTGCAGGGCCGATATGCACTTACAACTCATTTCTTGGGGGATACCTACATACTACTGGGGAGGGACTCCAGAGCTAACATCCACAGCTCTCTCTCTTTGGGGTCTACAACTATGGGAATTTGAAGGTATTCTGCATTCTGTTCTGGGATCCTTCCACCTGATCCTAAAGTTGGCCCTGCTTCACACCTGTCTTGCCTGAGGGTTTCAGCCCTGGGCAAGTTCATTATGGATTCAGTGAGGAATGACAATGGAATGTTCTTGGGGTAAAAGGGTTTATTACCCGGCTTTATTCCCACAGTGGCGGGTCGAGTGCTAGAATTATGTCTGCATCCAGCAGTCTCCAGGTCTGTAAAACTTCTCCCTCTCTGCCTCTGCCCAGAGCACTGGGCAGAGCTCTTTATGTAATGACTCAGTCAATAATGGCTTATTGCCTATGGGTGTGGAAGCAGTAAGGCCAATCACAGCATTAAGGAGTCTAGGGTCAGGTGAGGATCCTGGCCATAGGAACTTCCAGTTTCCCCATAACACCCCAGTAAGCTAATGTTAAGAACCAAGCCAAAAAATGGGTTCATTCCATGGGGATCTGCTGCCATTTTCCCAGTGTCACTGGTTGCCATCCCGTCCCATCAGCCACACCCCATCCCAGGCTCAGGCAGTGCACTGGGCCTCATGTAGTCACCGGCCTCCACTAGCATTTGCTGAGAGCCCGATCTTTCTGAGTCAGATGAGCGAACCCTGCCATGTGCATCTACTGCCCATCGGAGCCTGCCTGGGCATTTTGGAAAGTCTGCAAAACCATCCTTGCTCAGAGAAGGAAAATTCCTAATAAGAACCAAATCACAAAGAGCCTAACCCATTGCTGACAGCATGTCATATGCACATCTCTTCTTCCATAGAGGGACCTTATCATTTAATGTCCAATCTGGGACACTTTGGGGAGCATAAGAGGATGCTATGAATAATAAAGCTGGGACAAGTGGCATAAATTGGAACTGTCCCAGGAAATCCAGGATATATGGTTGCCCCTCCCTACAACCAAATGATGCTGTTTGGTCCTAAAAGACAACTTTGGGATCGTTTACTCCAGTAGCCTCCATGTATCCTGATGGAGAAATGGATACCCAGAGGCTTGAAGGGACCCTTCAGCCAAGTGGTATAAGAGTTGTTAGAAATTAAAGCCAGAGACTTTAGAAAGTGTGCCTGCATCCTACTGATGGGTACCCAGTGCCGTTGATAGTCTGGCTGCCGCCAGACCATTGGTGCATGCAGCACTTCCTAAGTTCTAGATGTAGCAGAGCAAGCCCGTGGGCTTGCGCAGTCCGGTCTCTGACTTCGCCTTGTCCCACTGTCCCCTTGCTCCCTACGCCCTCCCCTTGCTACACTCTTTTCAATGCTTTCTGACCTCAGGGCCTCTCGGTTTCCTTTGCTCTGCCTGGAATAATCTCCCTGGCTCTCTCTGCATCTGAATCCTTTTCATCCCTTAGATTTAAAATTCCACATGTACTTATTTCATAGCATGTGTCACCCGTGATCATCATTTTGTTTATTTCTTCACTTGAAATATATACTGAGGATCTTTGACACGTAGGCCACCAAGAGTTTGGCTCACAAGAGTGCAGGTCTTTAAGCACCTGATCCTGAGGTCCCCCAGGCAGTCCTGCTGATGCCGGATTGGATTCCACAGAATTCAGGAGTAAATGC